AAATAATGTTTAAGGATATACGATCCTCAGCCAGGAAGGATAACTCTTTAATTTATAATTTAATTCAAAAGTTATTAAAATAAAGCTTGAAATTGGAATTTTTTCATGCAACAATTTTCATTTTATGCTTCTACATGTGATTCAATGCTCTTTAAAGTTTGACAAACAGTATTTAAAAAGTTGACATTTGTACCTCATAAAATGAAGTAAAAATTGCATATTTTTAAAAAAAAACAAATTTCTTTTAATTTAGCCTTAGTTACCAATGTTTATATGCATGATTTGAAACTAGAAGTGATTTTCAGTGTTTTTCTTTGAAAGGAAACACTTCATACACTGTGCATTATGAAACAATGGAAGTAAGTAGGAGAAAGTAAAGTCCAAATAATTGTAAAATTAATGCAATTTTCTTTTAAAGTCTGGATACCTATGATTATTTTTCCTAAAATGTACTAGTAATTCTTGATCAATTATCAATTAAAAAATATGCAGTATGTAGTTCAAATCGCATTTCTTGAAAAATTATTCGAGATTAACTAATTTTCCCTATATAATATGATTAAATTTAAAGATGAATTTTAAAGAAATACCGAGGGTAAATACATTTTAATTTGAGAATTTAGAGACATCTTTGTGAGCATTTTCAATTACCCCATGCCTGATTTTCAGAACCTGAAGATCGGATAACCTTTACGTTGTATTTAAACAATAAAGTACCATTTGTGGGATTATTAAACAATTATTTAATGCCTGAGAGGTCAATAGACCAGAATATTTTTCCCGAGGTGCAAGGAACAGCTCAGTGTCTTCTATTGCCCGAGGCCTCGGGAAAAAATATTCTGGTCTATTGACTGCTCGGGCATTAAATAATTGTTTATTAAACTTAAATATGGTGCATCTTTAATATTAATTAAAGATCGATTATAAAGACTACTGTTTACAGTTCTCTTGAAATTTTTTTACTCAAATGGAGAATCCACCACTTGCCTGTGGAGAGGCATCTTTTCTTTGCCAGCAGGGCACCTACTCGCTACTGCATACTGCGACACGGGACCTAGATCGGTTGATAGGTCTCACCCGAGGGACAGGTCTCCGCGTCCCACAATGTATTAATTAAAAGTAATTCTAATTAAATAAAATATCCGACAAGTGAATTCACACAATTTTTGAAACAAATGTCGAAAGATAAAAAAATTGGTAGTTTACCATGTCTGTGCAGTGTTACAAACAACTAAATTTGAAACCCGGATCGGTTGTATTTTCCGAAATACGTTGCCGGTCCATAGAACGTGCAGTCTATTGACCGGTCAATAGATCGCCAGTCAATAGATCGGTTTGAAAGAAAAACTAAAAACACATACAGAGTAGATGAAAATACTAAATTTATAATAAAACAAAATAAATTCATTGGATTAGGTAATGATATTATTTATTGTTATAGGGGGAACTTAGGCAGGGCCCCATCCCTTGCAGCTGCCTTCCATATCAACTGCTCATTGTTATAAGTCTGGAAAATAAATGTAGAAGAAAAAAAATTAGCTTTTGCAATCCCATTGTGTCCGTCGTATTTCCGTTCGCCTTTATATCTGTCCGTCAGTCCGTCTGTAAACCTTTTTCTCATTTTCGACTTCTTTTAAGGAGCCACTCGGCCAATTTTAAGCAAACTTCCTACAAAGCATCCTTGAATGATAGGAAGTGTAAATTGTTAAAGTGCAGGGCAAAGTCCCTTCACAAGAGGAGATAATCAAGAAAAGACAAAAAGGGTGGGGTCATAACACAATCTTCTTCTTCTTTACACTGTTGTGGAATCATCCTGGGGTAATGTAAATTCTAAATTGTTCAAATAATGACCCCCAGGCGGTAAGGCGGGGCCACAATAGGGAATTAAACTTATATATTGAAATATAAAGGAATTTTTTTTTTTAAAAATCCTGTTGGCAATACTGGGCCAAAAAAGCTGAATCTTATGTGGAAGCATCCTGGGGTATTGTAAATTTTAAATTGTCCAAATTATGACCAATTTGGTAGGGTGGGGTCACAATATGTTTTAAAAGAAGAAATTTAGTGAGGAACACATGGGAAAAGCTACTAAGGTGAGCGATGGTACCCATGGACCTCTTGTTTTAAGATTACAAAATTCTTAATGTATATATTGATCATGATACTGATAAAATTGGATGTTTCTATTATTGCACATGTGCACATACATATTTGTCACTCAGAAAAAAAAAATGATTTGAAAATATGAGAGTTTTTTTTCAACACCTGTGCTATTGGTTATTTTTTATATTTTACAATAAAAAACTGTTTATTCTTTGTTACATAATTTATATTTTCTTGCTTCGTTCAAACATAAATAAAATTAGAAACACGACAATTGCTTTTTTATTAACAAGTATATAAAACTGTAAATATTATAAATTATTTTTTCAAGGTAGCATTATTTTTCCTAGAACTTTATTTATATTTTTTCACGGTTACTAGAAAATATAACTTTAAAATGTAACAAATTACGAAGTTGCTAAAATTGTAAGTTATCTTATCAGTAATATCTAAATGATGTCTCCGCTTTTCCCAGGTCATTAAATGTACACTCTCCTTCTGACATATTTCATTTTATCAAATAAACTCTGCGATATGACGAAGTAAGTAGTCATATCGCAGAGTTTTTATTAACCTCGACAATGACGATAAACATGTTATCTTTACTACCCATCAAATACTTAAATGGCCATACATTGCTTTACTTTGATATGTTTTAATGTATTTTTGAGTTCGATTATTGTTCGTTATCTCCATATATAAATGAATTTTCGTATCCAGTTTCTGCACTAGAGTATTTTATGCAAGCGCAGGTATCAAACTATATTAAGTAGTTCTCTAGTTGTCTCTAGAGTATTTTCGTTATTTACAAATTAAATATCCATATGTGAGATCTAGAAGAATTTGAATATTTTTAGTTTTATCATAGGATGAAATTTTCACATTGATCTGAAACAAAATATAATTGTTTTTCTGTGGTTTATGATTTCTGTATTAGTGGTAACAATGTTTTATAGTAAAAGAGAGAGTAATATTTTAAAAGGATAAAGCTTAGAAAGTCTTATGTTTATAACTTTTAGTTTAAGGTTTTAGGTTTAAAGGGTGTAAAGACGTAAAAGGACATTTAAGACAATAGCTAATTTAAGGGGTCCTCGGATTTCTTTGTCTTGAATAGATTGAAGTTGTGTCTTAAGACATTACCCAAGGCAAATATGTTTATATTATTATTCACCAGAGATTGTTGTCATTATTAAATCTCCAATTGTATTTGACAACATCTCATATCATAATATTGCGTTCTAAAACAACAACACAAGGCGGTTAAACGTTTCCGGTACATGTCTTATGATGTTTCTCTATTTCTTTGCATTGAGCTAGTGTGTTAAATTATTTTATTAAATATGATTATGATCATTTTTAATCATAATAATTTGATGCATTGCTTGGTCCAGTATTATAAACAATTTATTGCATGAATGTTAGGAAAATGAGAAGATTTCTTCACCCATGAAAAGTCATATTCCCTTAGAGCGTTCTACATATTTTCCATCCGGTCCTTCGGATAAGATCGTATAAACGGAGGTCCCGTGTCGCAGGGGGTGCTGGGACGAAAAAAAATCCCTCCCTGCTAAATGGCCCTGAGTGCCGAGTATAGGACAAAATTTGCAGCTCTCCACCGGCAAGTGCTGGCGTCTTGATAAAAGTGAAAAATTCTCGAGAGGGACGTCAAACAATATACAATCAATCAATCAATTAATCATATTTTCCGAACATTCATGCAATAAATTTACCTTTTTTAAACCAAAAGACGCGTTATACAGAAAATTATATTAATTGTTGAAAAAATAAAATGAAATTGTAAGGATTATTTCTGTGTTTTGCTTTTGATCATTTTTCTTTCGTTAATATATACTATTCATACACTGCATACTATTAATAAATACTTTTTTTTTAGTAAGAGGTTCCTATGCCAAGCCCTGGAGAGATATCACATTTAACAAAGATGATGAAAAAGGAATAAAGGTTAATATGCGTGATTTCTTTTGGTACTTTTTAAATGAAAACTAAAATATTCCTTTAAATAAAGATACGATATACATAGCGGGTACTAGCAAATGATCAACAAAGCCTCTTTCTTAACTCCTCACTTTGATATTAACAGTGGTGAACTAGAAACCCCAATAGTACTTTGCAAAAGTGTATTCAAGATATCTTCAAGAAATTCAAGAGATGAGAAATCGATACTAAAATAATCCTCGAATTTTTTGAAAATTATATACTGATAAAATGACATTAACAACAACTTTAACAAAACGAATTTCGCTACTTACCTTATCCTTGGTCATTTGCAAAATATTTTTTAAAAAACAATCTGATTGTATTCATAAGTTGAGAGCTTGCAGTGCAGGGAAATAATTTTTCTACAGTATCAATGCTGATTTTGGTGCTTCCTATGCTTGCTGATTTTGATGCTTCCTTTGCTTGCTGATTTAGATGCTAGTTATCCTTATCCTGATCCTGGTTTGATCCTTATCCTGATTCTGGTTTGAAAACTAGGTCAATGCTAGTAATGCTACCGAAAGTAGGATTATCCTGCCGGAAGTAGATAATTCAAAAACAGCATCGCTATTTTAAGCCATTAAAAATAATTTTGGGGGTAATTCTTATTTGTAATTTGTATTAAAAATTTCCTTTATCTGTTTTCACTTGGTCAATGCTAATTCTATCCTTTGCTTGCTGATGCTGATCCAAGTAATGCCGTTTTTTTAAATGCTGCACTGTACTGATACTTAAATGTTTGGGTTTTTTTCGGTTTCAGAAAACTGAATACTATAGAGAAAAAGTCAGTTCATTCGCAGTCCACAAAGACACTAAATTTTTAAACATATTGTTAATTGGACAAGCTGCATCAGGTAAATCTTCATTCATTAATTCATGTTGCACTTCTTTACGCAACGAGGGCAGAATGGTTAAACCGGCTGGTGTAAGAGAGGCTCAGACGGGAAGTGTAACTGATAGGGTAAGTTTAATAATTTACATAAAAATACTCTTTTGCATGTCCTTAACACTCTTGAATATAGTCAGTTTACTAATGTAGTAAAATTCTAATAAATAAAAATTCTGTATATCACTTGCACCGTAGTACTTGAAAGAGATCAAAATACATTTCGACAATTACGTGATCAACCATATCATGTAAGTTACCCTCTCAATATGATTGATTGTATGTTGTTAAACGTCCCTCTCGAGAATTTTTCACTCATATGGAGAAGCGCACCATTTGCCAGTGTAGAGCTGCAAATTTTGTCCTATACTCGACTATTAAGTAAGGGGGGATATTTTTCGTGCCAGTACCTACTGCGACACGGGACCTCAGTTTATACGGTCTCATCCGAAGGACCGGTCTCCACGTTTAACAATAAGATTCGAATCCGTGACGTAAGGATTGGCTCCTTACTTCGCGACTCTAGAGTAGGCGCTCTAACCACTGCGTAACGCGGCCCTCTCAATATGTAACTGAAGCAAATGTATGAATGTGAGTATATAGACTGCCTTTTGACATCACAATCAAGGTGGTAATGTAATGATAAGTTTTAAGTAAAATTTAATGTATCGATAGGGCTTATTATACCCCCCCCGCTTGAAAAGCGGAAGTGTATACAGTAATCGGTACTTCCGTCCGTCTGTCCGTCTGTACGTACGTCCGTCCGTCTGTTACGCTTTAGGGTACCCATCTCTTATCCGCAACTCCTCTCATACCACTGAAAGAAATTTAATGAAACTTATACAGAATCTTTATTACATATTGCCATTGTGAACCTCTTAATTTACTTTTTGATCTGACATATGTTTTAGATTTTCCAGTGCAAAACATGGACACTGCCATTTTATTCATATGGGAGGCGGGGGTGGGGGTTATCATTTAGTGAGCTCATTGCTCACAGTACCTCTAGTTATAGTTATGCATTTCATCGTTGAATTTAAAAAAAATCCTCATAGGAATATATACGAGGTAAAAATCTTCTTCTCAAGGACCCCTTGTGACAAGAAAGATCAGGTAGTGTAGATTCAAGTTTGTTCAAGTGATGACCAACTAGGGTAAAACGGGGCCGTTATAGGGATCCAAGTTTAACCTGAAAATAATATGAAAACATATTTAAAGAATAGCAAAGCCTAAATTTGTTTAAATCATGACCCCGTTGGGAAGGCAGGGGCACTAATTCGGGATGAAATTGTTATTAGTACGCAATATACACTGTATATAGGAAGAAAATTTTGAAATATGTTAATATGTTTTCTCAAGAACAGCAAAGTTATTTGCGATACTCAAGCACCTCCAGGTAAACTTATCAATACTTTACTTATATGCACTTTTTCTTAGCTGGTGTGGTCAGGTGAATGATGTGGCCCATGGGCCACTTGTTACTAATTTCATTTTCAATGAAACAGTCATTCAAGAATATTTATAAGCTAATTGATCATCTATTTCTAGATACAACCTCATCCACTTGTAGACGATAAGGGAAACTGGCTAAAGGTTCGGTTATATGATTGCAGGGGTCTTCACATAAAGAATGGAATGCATAATGATGACCTTGCCTTTCTCATAGATGGTCACATAAAATCGGGCTACAAGGTATTTGTTAATTGATTGAAGCATGAAAAAATTACCCATTTAAGGTCACGTTCTTACAAATAACATTAATTAAATCAATGTTTTAATATACAAGTATATATAGAAACTCTCTTATTTGCACGTCTTTTGATTTTTTATGGGTAAGACTCTATTTTCTCTTATCAAAATAATGCAAATGTAAGGAGATAACGAACAGATTTCAAGCTCAAAAATTATTTTTAACAATACCTATCAGGAACAGAGCAAACACGGACCTTAAAAATGTCAGAAGGAATCAGGTATGAAATGTGCAATATTTTATAACTCAATAATTTGCCTAAGCAGTTTGTTTTAAAGCTTATTGCTAGTGTTTTACTTGCTGAATTGAACTCGCGTTACTAGTTATAAAAGCAAAGGCATTGGACGCAGGATGGCCGTGCGGCATCTTTGGTTTTCTGTACTTTTTAGGTCACCTGAGTAATTAACTCAGGTCACCTATTGCTATCTGTTTTTGTCCGTCGTCTGTCGTCTGTCGTGTTTTATCATTTGAACATTTTCAGCTTCTTCTCTGAAACCACTTAACCAATTTCAACCAAATTGCTTTACAACATTGGAGTGGAAAAAAAAAATTGTAAATTCAATGGTCCCCGCCCCTTGGGGCTTGAGGTGGGGCCAAAACCACCAAAATTATTGTAATCCTTAAAATATTCTTCTTTACTCCTGGCCCCGGGATCATGAAACATTTTAGCTTAAGTCAAAAAAATGTCTTAAATGCTGAATTTTCTTTAGAGGTTAAGCAGCCCTAAATGAAAATGCTTTCCGATTTTGTATCATCAATCTGCTGTCAAATGCAAATTAAGAGTTTCCTTTAACAAGTTTTTAAGATTTTATAGATGATAGACACTTTGACTTAAGTCTAAGTCCGTTTCATGATCTTTGGGTGTGGCAAACTGTTGGCATGAATGTAACGAGCATTGAGTCCTCTACAAAAATTGTGAAATTCATGGTCCCAGGGTGAGGGGTCAAGCAGGCAAACTGTTGGCATGAATGTAACGAGCATTGAGTCCTCTACAAAAATTGTGACATTCATGGTCCCAGGGTCTGGGTTTTTTGTGCTAGGGCGGGGCTATATAGATTATATAGTGAAAATGCATTATTTCTTTTAAAATCTTCTTCTCTGCTCTTGGGTATTAAGTAAACTAACTCAGTACATGTGTTCATAGTTATGTTGAACAAGAGTGCTTCTTCAAAATTGCGTATTTTATGGCCCCAGGGTCAGGGGATTCTGGTGTTAGGGCGGACCTATATAGATTATATAGTGAAAATGCATTGATTCTTTGAAAATCTTCTTCTGTCTGCTTCTGGGTATTAAATGAACTAACTAAGCACATACTTATGTTGAGCAAGAGTGCCACTTCCAAAGTTGTGAATCTTACGGCCCCAGGGTTAGGGTTCGGGTGTTAGGGCGGGGCTCTATTGGTCAGATAGTGAAAATGCATTTATTCTTTGAAATTATTTTACTCTGCTTCTGGGTATCAAATAAACAAATCAAATTCATAGTTATGTTAGGAAAGAGTGTCTCTTTCAAATTCCAAAGGGTTCTGGTGTAAGGGCTGGGATGTATTGATTATACAGTGAAAATGCATTAGATCTTTTAAAATATTTTCCTTTGTTTCTGGGTTTTATTCCATTGATCCAAGTATATATTTTTATAAGGAAGAAAGGTGCATCTAGCAAAAAGGTTATTTTTATGCCCCCTGGGTCTGGGAAGTGGAAATGCATTTTCCCATTGTTACTCTGATCTACATTTAGGTATTAGGAAAAAAGAGTAAGCATGCTAAGTTTATAATTATGATAAGCAATGGTGCCTCTTTCAAAACTGTGAATTGTGAATTTTATGGCCTCTGGATTAAAACATGAACCAATTTAAATTGCTTGAAAGTTTTTGCACGATACTCAGGTGACCCTTAAGGTCCATGGGCTTCTTGTTCTCAATTTCAAACATTACCAATAATATCAGGATGAGAAAATTGACTATGGAAAGAGTAAAAACTTAAAGACGTACCTGTAATGCAAATCAAAACAAAATACTGTTTTGGCGAAAACATACTGAAATTCAATACAGATTAAAATCAAAATAACTGAATGAATTGCAAAAACAGTCGACACCTCTTTAAAACAATATATATATATCACCATTAGCTTTAATTAAAACACAAAGATGCAGCTTTTAAAAAGATATTTTTCTCAAGACCCACTGGACAAGCTAGAAAGACAAAACTTTTATGGAAGCTTCTTTACATGCGGTAGATTCATCTTGTTGATATCATATCACCGAGATGTAGGGGAGGGTAAAAAATAGAGGTGCAAAGTTCTACATAGGAATACCGATAGATAGCAAAAATATTTTTAAAAAAGTGTCTAAAAATCGTTTTCTCTAGAACAACAAAGTCATGAAAAGTCATATAACAGAACTACCCTCAAATAATGTCGATTGAAGTTTACTGAGTATTCTAATTACGTTAAAGTTTTACTTACTTTGATATGAGAAATAGTCAAAGGGCTTTGAGTAAAATGCCTCACTTAATGAGATGACCTTACCACTCCTTGCAAACTAATGTGTATCTTTGAGAAAGTCAGGCATTCAGAAGCTAGCAGCTGAAGAAGTTGATTGCTAAATCAGTTATAACGAAGTTATTACATGTACCTTGATCTAAGGTAAATTCCTGTTCTCAGCCACGACCGAGGATCTGCCCGTTGCTTAGTAATTAATTTTGGCTATTCCTATATACTTTTGTATTTTAGTTTGACGTAGAGCATCCAATTAAAGAGGGTGATCCATATTATCGGACAGAGGCCACACTAAGTGATAAAATGCATTGTGTTGTATATGTTGCAAACAGTTCTAATCCTATGGGAGGTTTAGCTGATGACGTTGCGAAGGATCAAATCATGAAAATTCAGAAAACCATCACACCTTTATGTAAGTTTAACTAGATATATAGTTAAGACCGTCTCCTTACATGTTATCCATCTTATATTTACATCCGCTTAATATTTTCTCCTTTATGTCTTAAAAACCCATTGCGTTAATCACTGCATGAACTACAGTCGGCATGTTGCCTGTACAGTTTTCTTAATCAGTGGCTGTTCCATCAATGAAACGTATAAAGAGGTTCGCATCATTAATACAACAAGAAACATATTGACGCAAGCGTCAAAAATTGGCCACAAACCAATTTATATAACTGTTGAAGTTCCTTTCAGTTACTGAAATTTGCTTTTTTTTAATTCTTCAGAATCAATCAATCAGGAAGGGATGAAATGTTTACCCAATAACTTATAGAATTGAATTTTACGATTATTGTGCTTTTTCCTAAACATTTAGAAATCTTTATTTAATATTAAAACGCCGGCGATATTTTTATTTAAAATTTTAGCTCCGCAGAAACGCACAGCGACTTAAAACTTTCATATCATACATTCAAGTTTGGCTTTCCAGAAAGCCTGACCTGTCATCTCTTTGACTTTGTTTATGTCACAGAATAAACAGTGGAATGTAACTTTTTCTCAGCTATTACATATTTTTCTATTTTATTCCTCTGGGCAATATTAGATAAAGAAAACAAATAAAAATCCTGTGTTGTGGATAGGAAAGAAATATTTTAACAAATTTATTTTGGAAAGCTGTCAATCTAATTAAAATTAGATCTTTGATTTTGACACAAAATAGCGATCAAACTGGAGCGGATCAAAGATCTAATTTTAATTAAATTGGAAAGCTGTATATTTCTTGTGCACAAAAAAGTGCGCTGTTTCTCTATTTATTTCTCCATGTCCTTCAAAATTTCATCTCAAAATATTACTAACCGTGTGATCTTAACATATTATTTCGCTGTTTCAACATCAAAACATTTCTTATTATTTTTGTTGTTAATAGCCCAACTAATTCCCGAAATTCCTCAATTCTGGTGGAATTTCATCATATTTGGAATACATTTCTCTTCGGAAAACATAGAGCACACGCTTGCCTATCTGAGATTTTTACCCATACATTGCATCTGATATTAGTGTATAAAATATATAAATTTGGTAGATAGGCAAGCGTGTGCTATATGTTTACAGAAAGAAAATGTGTTGTAAAATTAGTGAAAATGTGCATAAGAATGAGAAATTTCAAAAATTGACCTATTTCCTGACCTCACTGTGACATCTGTATATCTTAAATATTAAAACCAGCACTAATTTTGAAGCAGGGATGAAAACAGGTTTTCATGGAAAAACTGTTGGATCATTCTGAGAGACCCTCAAAATCAGGGGTCAAATACTGTTCTTACCCTATCTTGTTCTTTACACAATTAAATATTGTACAAACGAGGCTATTTTTACAAGACCGACGTGTTAGTGGTATATAAATAAACTAATCCTTGCGCTGATCCAGTATGCTAATGACCAGTGCAATTTTCCCGCGATAACTAGTGATGAAGTGTTTATATATACATGTGACACTATTTATGTTTGTAAACAAAGCGAGAAACACTTTGAATAAAGATGGTCTAAGTAAATCAAATTTTAATCTGAAAGAGAAGAAATTAGCTGTACCAGTTGATAAAATATCTTTATGTAAATGCCATTACTTCTTGCGCAAACAATAAAAGAACCACTGTCTTCCACAATTTAGATCTGCATCACAACAAGCTTTAAATACAGTAAAGGTCACTTAACATGTCTTTGATTCTTATCTTATTGTCTGCGCTACTCTGGAAAGAGAGTACCTTTACTATATACAGCTGTGTCTAACTATCAGATGCTGGCAATGTGATACCGTGAATTTAAAGTACAGAAGACAGTAAAAAAAATAACCCCAAAAAATTGCAGAAAGATTTAATCGATGGTTATTCATAAATAAAATGATAAATGTTTGTTTATAAATGTTAATCTAGAGACTAAAAAATCAAATATATTCAATAGTAAATAGATTATGTAAACGATAAATATACCATGCCATTGTGATTAAGTTTTAGTTTTCAGTCAAAAAGCCAAAAAGAATTAAAATATTAATCCTTCATGAATTTATCAATGAAAGTCATGTGCGTTCGAATCCCACTATGGGACGTGGCGACCGGTCCTTCAGATGAGAACGTATAAATGATGGTCCTTTGTCGCAGTATGTGCTGGCAAAAAAAGATCCATCACTGATCAATGGCCGTAAAGTGCCGAGCATAGGGCAAAATTTGAAGCTCTACATTGGCAAGTGGTGATGCCTAGAGGGATGTTAAACAACGTACAAACAATACCATCAACTCGTAGCAGTACTTTCAGTACTTTGATTTTCAATAGTCACTGTGGCTCCCCGGTCTGTCAATATATTTTTCCGAAGAGCTACAGTTTTGCAGCTAAGAAAAGAATGCAAGTTCTTTAATTATAAACGTGAAATTAAACTTCTTAAGGAGAATTGATAAGAGATGCAAAAAATACTAATTTATGCTCCTTAGTGTTGTTTAATCTTCCAATGTCCGTAAGTTCTTATGGACATTAAAGTATCCGCTTGCTTTTAATTTCTGAAGGTTCAGGCTTTACTCTTATCAACATTCGATCGCTTAATCAAAATTTTAAAAATGTATTATTTTAAAGAAATTTCAGCAAATTATTACTGAACCAAAAAATTGTTTTCGCCATCAATCCATATCAGTAACTGTGATTACTTATATGAATGCTTTAAATGATGTTATTTTTCTTTGAAATGAAATGAAATCTTGAATCCACGCGTCGGCCGCAGAAGATCTTTACACACGCGCTGACCTAGTTAGAAAATTCCATCGAGTTCTCACCATCATTTACGTTTATGGCTAAGACGACTTTACATGAGAATATACAGTGCATGCAACATGTACATGTATATTTGAAGAACCACCACCACCCAGGCGATTTTGTGTGTCTAACTCTTTATGATGCGCAGATTGTTTTTTTAACATAACCCGCTTACGTGGGTTATGCATTTTTTCTGCAACAGCTGCTTCCGTTAATTCCAGTAATAACAAACAAAGAAAGCATTTTATTGTTTAAGTAAATTTGGTTCATTCACTTTTATCGTTATCAAGCAATGTGTTTAACTAGTTTGAAATTGTACAAAATCGTTCAAAGTTCGATCATTATACATTGAATACCTTATAAAAGAGGTCAAACTTCTAGGGTTGGGTCAAAGTTGTTGGTTACTTCGATTTGTCACAAAAATTATATATGTGAAGTATGAAAGCCTTAACTTTACGTTAAAAAGTTACGGTTAAAGTTATTTTTTTAAAAGTTTGTCAATCTAACAAGGTCAGGGTCAAAAGTCAAAGTCATGGTCAAAGTAAAGTGTGGTAATTTTTTTTAAAAGGTCAAACTCAAAGATCAAGATCAAGAGGTCAAATTGGTGAATCCTTAAGAAAAGTCTAGTCACAAGAAATACACCTGTGAAATATGAAAGCTATAGCCCCACCCAGTCAAACGTGTGCAATTAATGTAAAGGTTTCTGCGGACAAACAAACAGCTTGACATACGAACGGACAGGGCAAAAAATAGGTACCTCCGAAACTTCGTTTACGGGTACATACCTATAACAAACCGAAATTTAATCATAATCTTCTCAAAAACCAAACAGATTTAGCACTGGTGTAAAGACAGATAATGACCTCCATCGAATAATGACCGGGGGTCATTTTTCGACAGCATTATTCGGCGTAGAAAAATGGTCCTTTTGCCCGTAGAAAAAGTTTCACCACCCTAAAAATTTGCAGAACACGTGAAGAAAAAATGACCCCCGTAGAAAAATGACTTTCTGTGGAATAAGGCTGAAATTTTTTAATGGGCCAAAAAAAAAAGATAAAGAAGCATATTGGTCAAAATGCTCACCTGGGCTTATTTTGGAATAAATTGATGATACGAGGGCTGTTCAAAAATTCCGTGGACTTGTTGCCAAGTAAAAATATTTGACGACATAATCGGGCGAAATGTCACACATAATATAAAAGAAGCTTTGGTTATATGGTCTTCAAAATTTCACATAAAAATGTTATAAATGGTATCAATTTCGAGTAATTTTTCAGGACATATAATTAAATCACGGAGCAGCAAACTCTTCGACGTCACAGGCATTATAAAAAGTATGTGATTGATCTCTCATTTTCTCAAAATTTCCCAGGAGTACCTGTGCAGTTTGAGTTACCTTATCTACTCAACATCCAAACACCATTTCTTGTCAAGCTTATAAATCGATTAAACAAGTAAAAAATATTCATTTTTGTTATAAAACCAACAACTTCAGGTATTTATAAGATATATTGTAATATTAGTGACTTTCAATCATGTTCTTTACAGTCAAGATAAAGTTTTTCTCGAAAATCTTCTTCCCGTCCTCACGTATATAGCCTTTTTACATATATAGATCTAAAATATCAAATTGCTATTTGTTGACGAATGTCACGGATTCCCTAGTTTATTACATGTTTTATTATGCATATTGTGGATCTATGTTGGCGATATCACGAGCATTATTCATAATTTAACAAAAGTGTGGTGCGCCGTCCATTCAGGAGACGTCATTTTCACACTCGTTTTCACGGGAATCGCATCAGAGAAAAACCATTAATTTTCTTTTAATAATTCGAATATCGCGTCAGAAATCTACATACACAATAATAAAACAATTTAAAGATACATTTGAGAAAATTGTCGAAAAATGTTGCGAATTATAGAAAATAGATGAGTGAAATTTTGGATTCCACATGCTTTTGCTTGAAATTTTTTGTCTTGCTCCGTACCTCTCCATCAGCGAAATCAACATTCCGATAATTTTAGTAGAAAAAAATCAGCATGATCATATATTATTATATCCTCCGCTTGAAAAGCGGGAAGGTATAAAGTGATCGGGACGTCCGTCCGCCTGTTGCGCTGTGAGGTATCCATCTGTTATCCGCAACACCTCTAATGTATAAAAGATGAGTCTGTGAAACAGC